CTTGCGAACTTATATTTTGCAAATGTTATTTTCAAAAATATTAAAATTCACATGAATGACAGCCTTGAAATTAGGGCATATTTGTCGCCGCTGCATTGTGCAAGTCGCATTCTGGTATCTTGAGCCATGTACAATTAAATTGATATGACATTTTTACAGGAACGATCATGAGTAAAATTCTCCATCTTCCACCTATAACGGTGTAAGGAAAGTCACATGCATATAATCAATATAGAGTGACGTCGGTAAGCTTGATTCGGGAGCCATTATGATAATTATTTTCTGTTGACTAACTTGAACATTGAAACATCTACAATTGTTAACTCTCGCATCTTTTGGTGTTTCTTGGAGGGGCATCGGTCTTGTGCCTCTAACGTACGAGTTTCAAGCATGCATTTAATACAAACATGAAGGAGAGAGGATGAGGAATGTGTTGACGTGCTAATCCCAACAAGATTCAAAGGTCAACACTTTCATTGCGAAAACAATAATAAATAAAACCTTTTAATTTTAACACTCAGTTATCACATTGAAATATAAAGACTAAACCATATAATTGAGCTTGTATATAACTTTTATTTTGCATACACAGAGTTAATTTTAAACTGCAGAGTAACATATTAAAATTTCTTCTAACAAATTAACAATTCAAAATCATCAACTTGAAAATACTAATGTTGGAAATACTTGACAAAAATAAGACAATTAAGAATGAGAAGCGTATTTGAAAAGCACTTTGTAATTGCTGTAAAAATAACTTGACTTGAAAATAAAAAATTTAAATTACCTAGTACAACCCACATCTCGAAAAAATGCCTTGTTCGTGTTTGGACTATCGATAGTAGGTATGCTGAAGGGTGTGTCTCACCGTGTTCCTCCTAACTATGTGTGTTTGCATTTAAAAAAATAAAAAAAAATAATAATAATAAATTAACACTAGCTTATCTCGTGGTTTAATCTTGACTATGTCCTTGGCACGAATAAGCTCATGTAAAGAATCAAACAGATTTCGACTCAATTCATTATAATACTTATCTTTATAGTTTAGAAAATTAATGTAAAAGTGCTATTATTATTTCTAGAATCGAGTCGGAGGTACAAAAACCCCAGTTCACAAACCTCTTACAAAGGTCTCATACATGATGGGGTCAAAAAAAAATTTGATCATTATTTATTACATTGAACCCCATAGTGGGGCCGACCTTTTGTGAGTGTTCTGGTTCTCTTCTGTAAAAATAATTCTATACAAACAGAATTGTTGCTATTTCTAAGTTCGTGGTATTGGCGTAGTTACTACGACAACTACTTTATTATTAATTTCGTTTGTTTTAGGTTATACTTGTTACAATTTTGTTCCCATGCCTTGCGTTTTGTACTTTACCCAAATTTCTCATATATCCATGGGAAAAGACAGAGCGTAGGGTCTTTAGCAGTATCAATTCCAAATCTGTAAGTACCATACGTACTTGTACAGTATAAATGATCATGCATTGCCTCCACCGGTCAAACTATTAATAAGCTCTTTTTCTCTACATGCTCATTTTCAAGCATGCAATAATAAAATAAAATATTTTACATGTAAATTTAAATTTTTTTCATACTTTTAAATCACACTCTCTTAAAAATCACTAGTCAACATTATTTTTCCTAAATTATGGGCATCCAACAAGGGCATTTAAAGAATATCTAAGAACTACTTGTAAACTATTTAAGAGCTTGTTTGATTTGAACTAAAATTTATTTTTAATATAAATCAAAGTCAAACAATCAATATTAATCTTATCTTTCATGAGTCTCACAACTTTTCAATCACACATTTCAAAAACTTCTGTGACAATCTACTAAAAAATTCAATTTTAATCTCCACTGAACACCCTCTAAATTATAATAGATATGAATCAGTGATAAATAAATGAGTAACACTTTTAAATTTTTTGAAATGTGTTGAATAAAAGTGATTTGAATATATATTAATATCTGCCAAACATATGCTTAATATTTTCTACTGGGTGATGGCTTCAATTTTTTCTAAATTTTTCTCAATCTAATCAAGCATGCAAGATTATATAGAAGTTGATGGACGAAATTTGGAACACTCATTTAATGGATGAGATGTAATCGAATCATAAAAAAACAAAAAACAAAAAAAAAAGGGAAAAGAAAAGAAAAACTAATCAATTGGCTTAGATAAAAGAGAGTTTCGTAGAAGTAGATGCTCTAAAGGAATCCTAAGATCATTAGGAATTGGAGGTGGACTAATTAGAGATGATAATAGAAATTGACTTGTTTCATGAAAAATATTGAACACGCATTAAGCTCATGCTCGATAGTGACACTTTATCATAGTCTTAAATTTGCGTCCGAATCTCGAAGCAAAACTTTCTACGAGAGTCACGTGAGGATCTAATAAATATTTGATTAATTTTCACGTCCCCGTCCGATTTATCTAAAAATCAAATTTTTTAGTGAATTTTGATAAAAATTGAAGAAATGATAGATTAGTAATTTTGATAAATTTTCGGGTCATATAAATTTCAGGAAATGGGGCCGAACAAAGGAATAGTGTCAACATTGGGTATGGATTTGTTCATTGACAAAAGTTAGGAACCAATTTGATAAAGAAAAATTGTGGTGGAAAATAGCCAGAAAGGTTTTGTCCATTGGCGTACTACTAAAGACTTTTCACATGAGAACAGGAGAAAAGAGAATCGTTACACGACAGTCTTCTCTCCCCGCGGACGACGTTAAGACGCGTGGCGCCACAGGTTCCATTCCCATCTTTTACGAATTTCCCTTATTACCCTCCACGGACATCCCAAATCTCAATTGAACCAGGCACGTTTTTTTGTCATTTATTGGCGTTAAACGCGTGGGACCCATTCTCTCTCTCTTTTTTCCACTTTGTGTTGGGCTTTGGATTTTGTCGTGTCTCTGCGTGTAATTATAATTCTGCTATGTTAACTGAAACGTGTCGGTCACTCTCCAGTGGGTCCCACTTTGTGGGCCAATATTCTACCATAATCCGAAACGTGGGACCTTCTTCTTGAAAATTACATTTTACACTGATTGATTAGATTTTTCTTGGAACATAAAACTGCGAAAGTACACAACATTTAAGGATTAAGTGCGTTTGATTTAAATAAAAATTTGATAAAAACTAATTTAGAGCCTGTTTGGTGCATATTTTTTCATCAAAAATGCATTTTAAACATCACATCATGGGCCTTACCTTAGAGTGTTGAAGTCAAAAATTGTAGGCTGATTTGATGGAAAAAATGTATTATTTTTCCAAATAATGTGCACCAAACGGGCTCTTAGAGTCCGTTCGAGTGTGATTTTTTCTCCCAAAAAATTGATTTTTTATTCGTTACTTCACTATTTCAATCGTCATATTTGACTTCTTCTCTTACAAGTGGACCCCACTTTTCTCTTAACTGTCAAAAAATCAATTCTTAAAATCACTTCTAAACAGACTCTTCGTGTATGATTAGAAGTTTTATGTCCCATAAAAATGTCTAGTGGAACATGAATTTTGAAAATTGAAACCAAACATGAACTAAAACAAATTGTGTAAAAATTTTGTAAAATAGTGGCAATTTGAATTGAAGGTGACAGTGACGATTGCCATGACGGGAACAAAGAAAATGACTTCAGTTGGAGTTGGGCAGCAAATGCACTTACTTTTATTTTAGATTAAAAAACACAAGCTATCTTTTTCTTTAATGGTCGATGTCAACAATATCGTTCAACTCATCTAGCAATAAGCTTAATTGAATTAGAATAATGCTACTTGTACATAAGAAATTACGAAAAAATTTAAAGATAGATGATGTGTCAAGAAAAGAGAGAAAAGTTTTTTTTTTTCATTGGTCGAAGAAATTCTGATCCAATCTTATGTCATCACATCATGTGTAATTACGCCAATCTGTAGCACAACCGATTGAATTATACTATACCAATTTCAATTGAATTATTCCCATGCACAAAATCGTGAAGCCCATAGGCTTGACTTGCTGAGTTCGGCTTGATTAGGCTAGCGAAAATTTAAGCTCAATTGAATTCATGGGTTCACACTGAAACAACTCGAACTGCCCACGGACTGGGCTCTCACGAGCGCGGAGGTTGGTCTGGGCCATTGTCACCCTATGTAAGCCTTTGCTTGCAATGGATTGTCATGCCCTTAACTTTTGAGCCCATTTACAAAATACAGAAAGGACTCTCTTTATGGATTCTGGAAGCCCAGAACTCGGAAATCAATGGGCCTTTCTTTTTTAGTGTTTTAAATATTTTCTATCACCGTTATTTATAGAAATGACAATTTCTTCTCATACTTGTATGAGTAACAACGATACTTATAGAAAATAACCTCGTTCACAAAATGATATTCGTTTGCCTTAATGTTCCACCTTGTAATCGGGGCAGGGGCGGAGCCCCATTAGGTCCAGTGCGTGGTTTTTGAAAGCCTAGTTAAGAAGTAAATATCCAGATGGAAGCCCAACCCAAGTAACCACAGCCCATAACCCGTTTACGTTTACCGACCCGGACCCAGTGAACCAGACCCATCATTCTTAACCCGTTTGAAATCAAAATCAGGCCAAACCCTTAATCCGTTAATCGCCTCTCTCTCCATACTCGTCTCTCGCCTGCGCTGCCTCTCAAAGTCGCTCCGCCCGTCTCCGCCCTTGCATCGGTCACCTGTGGCCGGCATCTCCTTTGTGTGGGCTTTAATCTCCTTCCCTTAGCTCCCTGTAACTAAGTGTAAGCTCCGCCCTCGGTCCCTGCCGTCTAGATTAGGCCGAAACTGAAGTCGGTGACCGCAATTGAACCATCGTCTGCCAGGCGCCACCGCACGGTTCGCACCAGCTGCCGCCTGTAAAGACTAAAGAAGGTAATTAATTTCGAATTTAGATGTTCTTCCAAATTCCAACTGAACTACAGTGCCGTGAGCCGTCTGCCGGTGCAAGTCTGCTGCCTAATTTTTCATTTCTTCGATTTTGCAGATTCTCATTGATTCAGTCATTCTCAGTTTCTCACTTAGTCACTCTGTCAGTAACTTGGTATGTGAATTTATGTTGTGAAATTGGATTGATATTTGATAGTGTGAAATTGTGAAATAGTATAAATTTTGAAATAGTATAAATTGTGAAATTGCCATCACAATGAAATAGTACTTGTTCACTTGTTAAGTGTGTTTAGCTCTGAATAATGTTTCATTTGAGAAGAGTGACACTAGTAGGAGAACATTGAACCAGGGAGTGGAGAATTGGTGGGATGAATTGATTACCTTCGTTAGGAATTTGATTGATCGATGTTTCCATAGGGACGTGTTTCATTTAACTGTAGTACTGTTCACACTCGAGTGCCTTCAACTGTTTAAGAAATTTCTCCATGAATTATACAAGTCGGAGTTTGAAGAAGTGGAAGAGAAAGATCCCTTCAGCCCCAAGATACCCATTAAGAAACAAGATGAGTACATAGTTGGTGCTTTTTCTTACTTTAAATGTATAGTTGGGTACAAGATGAGTACATAGCATATTTATGGCTTGTTTAGTTGGGTTTGCTTCTGCCATCACAATGAAATAGTATAAATTTTGAAATTGTGAAATAGTATAAATTGTGAAATTGCATTGTGAATTTGCGATTTGGAAGGTGAATTGATATTGTGAAATTGGATTGATAATGTGAAATTGTGAATTGGATTGTGAAATGTGAATTGCACTTGCGAATTGAAATTGTGAAATTGTGAATTTATGATCCTTTTGTTATTATGAATTATTCTCACTCACTTCAAGTAATAACTGGATATCAAATGTTTAAATTCAGATATCAAATGAATAGATACTTTCAACGAAAAAGGAACATAGATAGTGTTGATGAGGGTGCATCGAATAATGTGGATGTTGATGAGGGGTTATCGAATGATGTGGAGTTTGATGTCACAAAACTTCCAACTAATCCTAGTTTAAGGATACCCATTTTGGATTACAATGCTAACATCCGAGATGAAGTTCGAAGAGCATATATGTTAAATGGTCCTTGTCAGCCCCAAGATCATAACTTCCCAAAACGACAATTTGGAGTAACAATTA